CAACATGTGGGTCCTGAGGATAGAACTCAGGTCATCAAGATTGCCCCTGCACCAAGGCTGCGCAAGGTGTCCCCTGGGCTCCGGGGTGGGTTGTAGGGGAAGGCTGGGGGGCAGGAGGAGGAAGGAGATGAGGATCTGTGGTTGGTATGTAAAATGAATAGAAAATTTCTTAACAATAAAAAAAAAAGAAAAAAAAGATTGGCAGCAAGCACCTTGACCAGATGGGCTATAACGATAGCCCTTATTATTATTGTGTTTGTCATCATCATCATCATCATCATCATCATCATCATTGTTTGAAACATGGTCTCACTGTGTTGGAGCCCAGGCTTGCCCCAAACTTAAGAATGTCGCAGCCCTGAGACCCCAAGGCCAGCCTGCAGGGGAGATTCTACAGAACGAGCTTAGAGAGATGTATGCAGCTCTCGTTCTTCACAGAGGTGGGGAGAAGGGGAGATCCTAACTGACTGAGACCTTTGTCCTTGGATAGGAGATACACCAGATAACCTTATCAGACAATTCACCAATCAGAGGGTGATTCAATTAGGGGGTGACCCAAATGGTGGCTAATCTACTCAGTGGTCGATCTCACCAAAAGCCAATCTAATCTAATTGGTCGTTGATTCGATCAGTGGCTGATGTCCTCTCTGGTGATCCATCATTGACTAATCTAATCTCTTGCTTACCCAATCAGAGGCTGACCTAATCCAGAGCAGGACCTGTATGTGTCCTTCTAATTGAGGTTTGATCCGATCGGTGGTGGATCTGCTCAGGGTTTGATCCAAACAATGTGATCTAAAGGGACACATAAGCCGGGACAGACAGCTGTCCCCAAAGGGGTTCTGCGTGTGTGGAGGGGTCTCTGTCTCTCTCCCTCTGTCTCTTCCCCTCCCTCTCCTCACCTTTCCCCTTTTTTCCCCCTCCCCCTTTCTACTGGGTACAGAACTAGAGACTTGTACACGCTAGGCAAATGCTATGCTGAGCTACTTTGCCAGCTCTTCCATTTTTAATTTTTATTTTGAGACACAGTCTGCGTTGCCCAGGCTGGCTGGCCTGGAACTCATTGTGTAATCCAGACTGGCTTCAAACTTGTGATCCTCCTGCCTCAGCCTTCTTACAGGCATGTCTCACTGTGCCCAGCAGGAAGGTAACACTTGGCTGTCTAATTTCTTGGCTTTTTGACACTTCCCTGAAGCCTCACTTGCTGGGTGTCAGGACTTGTTACTATGTTCAAGGAAACCAAGGCTCAGGGGAGAGGCAGGAAGGGTGCCCCCTTTCCTTTTTCGCTTTTGAGACAGTTTTTTTGCTATGTTATCGCTGGCCTGGAATTCGTGGGTTCGAGGTGTCCTCACGTTCTTTCCTCCCCAGTAACTGGGAGTGTGCGGGCACTGCAGTGCCCAGCTAATTCCGCTAGCGTCTATGTGGTGAGCACTACTTCGTTTCTTTGTTCAGACACCTCCCCTTTGCTCTGAGTCTCTATTGTAGGGGTAGGAGGATCACCTCCCTCCTCCTCTCCCTCTAGTCTCCCTCTGCCTGGCCTTGCTGGGGGATTTTAAAGGGACAGCTCTGTCAGCAGGATTGAGGGAGGAGGGAACCCAGGAGCCACAAGCACCTGTAAAACCAAATTAAAAATCAGTCTAGCCAACCAGCCCCCAAAGGAACCCAAGAGGAGTACAGAGTAACTCAAAGGCAGACACTAATGGAGGAGAAAAGAAATGTAGTTACATATTCATCAGCTTTTAAATATTCATGAGGACTGTAAAGCAGATTAATTTTCATGCCTCATTTCTCCCATGGTTCTCCCTGTCCATATTTTACTGCAGTAGCAGCAGCAGCAGAAAAAAAAAAACAGCTATGGGTCACCTGGCCATGGCTCTGACCAACCCTTGAGGAGCACAGGCAGGGGACAGGAGGGCCAGAGGCTTCAGGAGGGACCAGGGTCCCTTCTGCTGGGTCGGGACAGTGTGAGGAAAGCAGGGGCCCTGAAGGTGGGGGAGGGATGGAGATGTCGGAGGGCAGAGGGACTTCGCGCTGGGTCTCCCCCAGGGGAAAAGAGTAAGGAGACTCTGAGAGCCCAGCCTGAGTTTCATCTCGACTCTCCAGAGCTAATTAATGGCCCATGACAAGAGAGCAGGAAGGAGAAGAGACCAAAGGACGAAGAGAAGCAAGGAGAAACGGAGCATCATGAGAGGAGTAATGGAAAGAATGATCGGTCCAGTGGAGGAGCCCTTAGCGCGAAACCGCAGAAGGCAAAAGCAATATGGATCGAGGCCCCTATCTGGCAGGACTTTCTCATTCCAGGGCTTTGGGACCTTCTTTCTCTAGAGAGTGGGAGAGATGCTCCTTGGAATGAGATGTGAGGATAGAGAGCAGCTGGGACCCCAATGGGTTTGGGAAACACAGCCCATTGTCCCGGCCTGAGGGGGCAAGGTGGAGTCAGAGGAGATGGATGGGGTGTCAGCTGCAGAGTGTCAAGGTGAGCAACCCCTTAGCGGCAAATCTAGGTCACCAGCGAGAACCAGGGGGTTTGGGGATAGGCAAGCCACACAGGCCCCTGGGACAGTTGCTGATGAAGCTTCTTGGTGCTCCTGGAACGATGTCCCAGGGTGGTGACACAGTCTGTTTAAATAAGGCCTGGCTAGCACATGGCTGCCTGTTAGGGTTCAGACCAGCTCTCTTGGGATGAGGGAGACGGCATTAGGCCCTGAAAGGCCCGGCATCTTGGACAGATCCTGCTGCCTCTGTGGAGGTGAGTGGAGGCTCCACCGTGGAGAAGGCTGCTCAACATGCTCTCTGGGGACATATGGGCATCACCAATGGTGACAACACCCTTTACACCTCTCACTGATCTATCAACTTCTAGCTTGATAATTTCCTCTTGGATCTATAGTAGACATCTCAGGTCTCAGAGTTCACAGTCAACATGTCCCCACCCACCTGAAGCCCTCCGGATGTCACATCAATGGTGACTGTCCTTCCAGACTTGTCAGCTCAGTGGTGTCCTTGGTCCTGGCCCCATTGGTCTTTCGGCACAACACTCAGAGTCCCGCCCCTTCTTACCTCCTCAGCTGTCACCCCGGCCAGCGCTCCCATCCTAGCCATCTATCTCTTCAGGCTTCCTCCAACCCAGTGTGCACTGAACACTGAAGCCAAATAAAGGCCTTACCACAGCAGGTCGCATCCAGCCAGTGGTTCTCACCTAACCACTTGCTACAAATCTGAGGCCAGCCTAAACTACTTAGCAAGAACTAGTCTAAATAAATAAATAAATAAAATTAAAAAATAAATTACCTCTCTGATGGCTAATCTTGGCTACATGTGGAATTGACTAAAACCCATGCAGCTGGGCACACCTAGGTGGGCTTTCCCTGATTGGATCATTTGAGGTGGGAAGACCTGGGCCACACCTTCCGGTAGTAGCCTACAGAAAAAGACGTGGAAGAGGAAGCTTTTGCCTTTAGTCTGCTTGCCCTCACTCTCGCTGGCAAGTTCTTCCATCCCTTCTCTGTTGTTAGTATCTATGTCTTCAGGATTCCAATGCAGACCAAAGCCCAGCAGCTCTCTAAGACTTCCCTGGGACTCCAGCACCAGACTGGGACAGCTGAGACATCCAGTCTCATGGTCTGAACAACTATCAGATCCTTAGCATTTCCGTCAGGGGACAGCCATTGTTGACTCAGACCTCAGCCTGATAGCTGCTCTAATAAACCCCTTCGTAATATCATTCTATCAGTTCCACTCCTCTAGAGAACCATGATGAATGCACCCTCTTCCAGGATCTTTCTCTCTCTTTCACCTACTTTCCCAGAGTTCCTTTCATCTTCTAACATACTGCTCACTTATTTATCCTGCTTGTTGCTATTGTTTAATCTGCATTGAGTGGGAGGCTGTCCCCTTCCCTTGGATTAATTTGCTGTTGAAAGCACTCACCTGGAGAAAACAATCGAAGGCTGGATGCAGGAAACAGCTACTTTTAGATGGTGGTCCCCAAGAGAAGGGGACTCAGTGATGTGGTTTGTAGAGTTGTATAGTTTACTGCATGGAAGAAAATGTGCGGCATATAGTGGATATTTGGGAGGCTAGAATTGTTTGGAAGAATATTTGAGAGAAGAGATCCACATACAGAGTTCTGAAGGTCTATGGAAGTCTTTAAAACATGTTAAGGGCTGGAGAGATGGCTCAGCAGTTAAGAACACTGGTGTTTTTCCAGAGGACCCAGGTTTGATTCCCAGCGCCTCACCCAGCAGCTCACAACATTCTAACTCCAGTCCCGAGGGATTGGTGACCTTCTTCTTGTGCACAGACTTACATGTAAGTAAAAATACCTATAGGCATAAATGTAAAATAAAACCTTGCTGACCATAGATAGGAGATAATAAAGTAAACAAAAAAGCTTACAAGCAAGTCTTAAACCAGCTGAGACAGTGCACTTCCTTAATCCCAGCACTCAGGAGGCAGAGGCAGGAGAATTTTTGTGAGTTCAAAACTAGCCTGATCCACATGTGAGTTTCCAAGCTAACAAGAGTTGCATAATTCCCCCTCCCTCTCTATAAAAGTAAATCTTTAAAAGAAAGGAAGGAAGGAAGGAAGGAAGGAAGGAAGAAAGAAAGAAAGAAAGAAAGAAAGAAAGAAAGAAAGAAAGAAAGAAAGAAAAGAAAAAGAAAGAGAAAGAAAAAGAAAAAGAACCAAAGCATGGTGACACATATCTGTAATTCAGTGCTCTGGAGGTAGAGGAGGAAGATCATGAGTTGGAGGCCAGCCTGGGCTACCTAGCAAGCTCTTGTCTCACAACAACATCAATAACAATAAATCAAAGATGTTCCAAATAACTTTGAGCCTGAAGTCCGTCACTTAAAAAAAAAAAAAACTTGAAAATAAAAAACATCATCACTCTTTAAAGGAATATGACAAAATCCAGAGCTTGACAATGTAAAATTTACAAGATATGTCATCTAATAAATATGAATAGTTACGTAAAGAAGCAGGAAAGTATTACTCACTGCCACAAGAAAAATCAGTCAACAGAGAAAGAACAGAAGAGAGAAAATGGACGGTGTTGGCAGGTCCCGGACACTGAAGTGATTGTAAGTCTACTCCACACACTCAGAACGCAGAGGGAAGCGTGGACCTGAGGAAATAAGTGGAATATTAAGAAAAACGCAATTTATAAAAATGGAAGCAAAATATCTGAAATGAAAAATATTGTTGAACAAATAAACCATTCTGCTCCTGCTGCTGCACGACCACCCAGGGACCCACTCCAATGTCTCTCAGAGCCAACGCTGCCCACCACCCGCCCCGACACTTCCTGAGGGGGCTACATTCTCTTTCTGCATTACTCAGTATCCTGAGGATACTTCTTTTCTATTTGGTCCTCAAATGCAACCTGGGCTTCAGGTGGTAGGCACCCGCTCTCCAGTGTCCCGTCGTGACCTCTGATGGGAATCCCAGCCCACTCCATCATCGACTCTGCTTCAATAGTCTTCCTCCCACAACTACCAATGGAGCTTGTGTTAGTTGCTTTACGTGTCACCGTGACCAGACGCCTGCCGAAAGCCCCTCAGGGGGATGGGTTTATTCTGGCTCACGGGTTGAGGGGATAGAGTCCAACATGGCCGCTGGGGTCGGGGGTGACAGGCAGCAGGAAATTAAGGCAGCTGGTCATGTTGTATCCACAGTCAACAAGCAGAGAGAAATGAGTGCTGGTGCTCAACTGACATCCTCCTTTAAAATATATATATTTGAGTTTTATTTATTTTATCTTATGTATATGAGTGCTTTGCCTGTGTGTGTGTGTGTGTGTATCACATGCATGCATGGTGCCTGTGGAGGTCTGAAGAAGGCATTGGGTTCCTTGGAACTGGAGTTAAAGATGATTGTGAGGCATCATACCAGTGTTGGTTGATCATGGCCAAGGTCTACTAACCTTTGGGGCACAGTAGATAGATACGGCTAGGCTGGGAGGGAGGCCAGAAGTGGCGGCTTGGATGGACCAGGGCAAGTTAATGACGCTGACAAAGCCTGCAGAGAGCGAACTGGGGGGTCCCCAAAGTGGGGACTTTGAACAAGATGGGGCTCTCAGAAACAGATGTGGGGTGGCATGCACCCCTCCTCACCTCTCACCTTCCTGGGCCTTTCCCCTCCTCTGGGAAACACTCATGGGTTGGCCAGGTGTCTCTTCCTGACCTCTCCTCACCAAGGAGGAGAAGTGATGTCCTGGAGGGAGTGGACATGGAGTCCAGGTGAGCTCTTGGTCCCTCAGGTATTCCCACTTGAATCTTGTAGCCCAAGCTGGGTGGGTCCAGCCTGGAGCCCTGGGAACGCAGAGAACCCAGCTGAGGCTACCTCAGAGGAAGGCACACAGTAGGTGGCCATGAGTCCTGACCGGGCACCCAGTGGAGCAGGGCCTAACTTTCGCCTCCACTGACTTGTGGGTTCAGTCAAGTTACTTAACCGCCAATGCCATTTCCTCATCTCATTAGCAAGACCCAGGCAACCACCTCTGACCTACAGTGAACATGCTTAGCCCGGATGGACGGCAGGGGCTGCAGTGACCGACTTGCTGAGAGAATGGAGGTTGCCGTATTAGAACACCTGCCCTGCCCCTCTGTGGGCTCCGCCAGCTGCTTAGTCACAGCCCCCCCCCCCCCCCCCCCCCCCCCCCCCCCCCCGCAGCCAGCTCCTTGACCCTTGTTCTGAATCTTGTCTGATAGCCCCCAGGGGGGCCCATTGTGTCTTTAATTGCAAGTCTCTTGCTCCACAAAGCCATCAGCACCTAATGTCCCGTGTCATTGCTGGTTCTCTGTCTGCAGACACCTCGCTCCTCCACGCTGCTCAGCCACCCAGGGCAGCTCCATCTGGCCAGGAATTGCCACTGTCGGGGATAGGACAAGACCTTCCAGGATGTGAGGGTAACAACTGCCTTAACAATAAATTAATACCAGAAAGTTAAGGACCCCGTGACTCAGTCCTGGGTTCTTTCTATCAGACCCCCCCCTCCCCCATACCTCTGTGGTACCTCTTGTCTCAGGTTCAGAGCCTTTGGGTTAATGTGTTCTCTGCAGAGGAGAGCCTTGAACCCATAAGCAGCGGAGTCCCTGCTGGCTTGCCTCTGAGACTTCATCTTTAAGAGAGGGCCCAGTGACAAGTTAGGGTTGGGAATGGTAAACTTGGAGACAGACTAGGACCAGGAGATACATTGTCTAAGGCATCTACCTTCTGACAACCTGAACTTAGGGCAAGACCCTTTCCCTGGGCAGCTCCTGTGGCCAAATCTGTGGGCCTCCCATGGATTCTGCTCCTGTCCTTTGTACCTAAGAGCATCCGGCTTCTTCAGGAGGTCACAGGAAGCTTGGCCCGATGCCAACGGGCTGCTCCAATGGGGGAGGTCACAAGAATGGGCCACATGGGTTCAGGGTGACAGATTTTTGTCCAGTGGAACCCTGAGCCAGGGTAGGGGGAGGTAACTTAAAGACAGGCCCTGGGGTGTATCTGCACATCTATAATCTAGATCCTTCCGAACTTCCTGCCTCGTACTTGCCGCCTTCACCCCTGGGCTGTGGGGCTTGGGTCTTCCACCTTGAGCCCAGAGAGAGACAGAGACCACTTTGCCGCTTCCTCTCTGCACTGAGAGCTGCCGCATCTCCACAGAGAGTTTCCATAAATACCGAGGAAGAACAAAAGGGTGGTAATTACCGCAATACAAACAGCATGCAAATTTTCACGCTCCCCAAGTATGAGTTCCCGCCTCACACAACCGCCCTGGAGCCAGGAGGCTGCCAAGACCAGATTCCCAGACCTGCCTGCCTGTCACCTGGCAAGGCTCAGCCAAGGTTGCGACCAGGGCTGCAGCCGGGTGGAAGCCCTGACCGTTAGTTCTAGCTTTCTGTTTGAAGGTGGGCCTCAGCCACAACGGGCCACCTGCCCTGTGGTGTCTGACACAGCGAGGGACAAAACATGCCGCTCGGGTGTAGACGCGGGCCTCACCACCTCACAAACACTGTTGCCAAGTCACACACCCATGTCCACCGCAAGGCCTTGTCCCTAGGCCCCATGTGTCTTCACTGCTGCTGGTGGATGTGGGTGGAATGATCATGTGTCTTTCCTTGGCTTCTCAACTGGCTTGTTCACACACAGCCATTTGTTCAATGAGACTCAACTTTTCCACTGAGGTTGATTAGACTAGCCGGGCAGTTGAGCCAAGGCTGGCCGGGATCCAATCTTAGGTCACACACATACATGGCCACGTGGACTTTTGTGATCATCCAGTAGATGAAACGAAGCTGGCTTCACGGAGCAGGAGAAGGGGCACCCAGCAAGCAGGATGGCAGCCCTCCCTCCTCCCCTTAGGAGCCAGGAGACACCCCTATGCTTAAAAAAGAAAATCCTCCCCCCCTTTTTTCTTAAGTGATAGAGTGAGTCTCTGTTTCCTCACTCCAGAGTCTCCAACAGTGTGACCAGGACAGCAGGCTAGGACAGTTAGGGTCCCAAGAGGACCACACTGGCACTGCCAGGAATTTGCACGAGCAACTGAAATGTCCCTTGGAAGATGAGGAGAGAAACAAGGTATAGTATATTCAGTTCTCCTTTGTAAAGCAGCCCGAGGTGGAGGACCCCATCTGGGGGCTCCCAGGAGCTCAGGAGTGGGGCAGGAGAGGCCCTAAAATAGTCCACACCCTTACAGTCAGCGTCAATGAATACACCAGGAAACCAACGACTCATGTAGTGGGATCCTTCAGCCTGAGGGCTTAGCTGTCTTCTGGTTCCCACCTCTGGCCAGCTGCCCGCCCAGTACCCCTCTATCCTGCCCAGTTGCGAACTACACCACACCATGAGTCTAAAACCTGAGTTTGAGCCCCAGCTTGGCCTCAGATGAGCTATCTGACTGTAGACAAGTAGCTTCAGTTACCCGTAATGCTCATCCATAATCCCATTGGGTGCACGAGACTTCCTCACAACGGTGCCCTCTCCATTTCCCATTCTTTCTTCTCCACTCCCTTCCTTGTGCTCAGCAAGCTCCCTTCTGATTCAGCCTGGTTCCCATCACTGGGACTCCCTTGACATAGCTCAGGACCAGGGTGAGTTCAGGGCACTGAGGTGGGTGGGGTCTTTGAGTCTCACCCTTGTTTGCCATGCTTATCTACTGCCCTGTTCAGATGGAGACCTCCCGAGACCTGGCATCTTGGCCTCTCTCTTTACTTCTAGATCCTTCCACATGCCCGGAACAGGGCTGAGCCCGGAGGGGTTGCTCAGAGGATCCAACCGTGCAATACTAGCTCACTCTGACCTTCCGCAGCACTCTGGACCATCATTGTCCAGGCAGATGGGACAGCCCAGAGCTGCTGCACTCTTGACTTAGTCAGAAATATGTGCAGCCACCCATCATCATCTTGGCTCATCCTCTCTCTGTTCTCTCTCTCTCTCTCTCTCTCTCTCTCTCTCTCTCTCTCTCTCTCTCTCTCTCTCTCTCTCT